TTTGTCAAATAAAGTATTTGTATATCTTCCATCGGTAGTACCTATGTGCTAACATTGTAAATAGATATTTGACAAGTTGCCGTCACAATGGCATAGTAACCCCTTAGTGCCCATGACTAACTCCCTAATCAACAATATACAACACATAATACAGTCTACACAGCGACAAATTCTTGAGCTTTTAATCTTAATAATTATCCTATTTTCCCTGTAAGTCGCTGTGATTTAGAAATTGTGAAATTATATTTATTGTAATGTACGTATAATATATAATCCTAAACAGAATTAAATCGAGTTCACGATTTCGTGAACAAACTGTAGATAAAGAGTCATACATTTTGAGACGAAAAACTCCAGTTTTAAACATTTTGAAAACCTCAACACAACAAGGAAGAACAAAGAAGACTATTACCATGAGGCGATTAAAGTGGCAATGATAAAGATCTAGAGCAGGAAAGAAAAGGTGCCATGAGAGCACAAAACTGAAGCGCAATAAATGGTGGGTTAGAACTAGGACATTGTTATCCATGGGCTTTCGCAGCCTGGGCATCTTCGTCTCGATTATATTAATTTCAAGTCACTAGATATTTTAGCTTTAAATCTAAGAACTTTCAGAATATTTGGGCTTTCTCATGTTCCTGCAACTTGGCATCAAACTGCTTACGTTACCTCATAAAAGGTTCTCAATCCGTACTATTCTATTCCGATTAAATGCTATGCGTTGTGACTTTCAGCTGTAAACATGGAATAAATATCACTAATCACTAGTGCCCACACATAAGGTTCTCCTAAGTTATGCCCGATAGGGTTATTAGAATTGCAAACGAAAAGACGAACAAGTATGGAGGCTAAATAATAGGGAGGAAGCGTGGACGTGCAGTTGGCGTTACAATCAATGCGAATTTTGGCCAATCAGCAGCGAGACTAGGCCTGCTTCACGTGATTGCATGTTTGGAGGATTGGTCACGTATCTAAAGCATAAGCTTTACCCTGTGGGAAATCGATTCACTACTATTTCAAGGATTCTTAAGCCGATTTTCAAACTTTTTTATCTCAAATTATGTAAATATATATATATATATATATTTGAGAGAAAATTGACTTAAATTAATAACAAGTAAATGCTCAGTGAATAGGGCTGCAACCTGAAGAAAATCCAGGCAAAGAATTAATAAAAATTACGAAAAGTGTTTAAATATAATGAAACCCAAATGCTGATTAATTTCATGAGGCGATTTTTTTATTTTATTTTAAAATAACTCTCGGAACAAAATTTTAGCTGGTCACGTACGCAACGAAACTTGACGCGAAAATAGAATGTTTATAAATTTTGCCTTCACTAAACTTGAGTAATCTCCACGGCAATATCCCCTAGCACGAAATTGCTCTCAAAGTTAGTTGAGCAAAGTGCCTTTTCCTGTTGCGTCACTACCACAGCGCTTAGTCATTAAAACAAAATCAATGGCCTGTTAACAATGTAGCGACTATTGGTTGCTGGTTGTCTAAATGGTCTCTGCAGTTACGACCGCACTTGCTCGCACCCACAGGCGCGCCACATATTAGAGACCGTTCGGGTGTGCTGATGTTTCTTTGTTCGCCTTGTTAGCGTTATGCGTCCTCCCCCCCCCCCATGCTTTTAAGGTAGTTCACGCGGCGCCATTATATTTACTTTTCATTAAAATCAATATTTTCTCTTTTCTATGAGACAATGGATTTCGTATTGCAAATCAATAATGTCAAAAAAATTTTGTGATAATACACAATATCATTTGTGATTTTCGAGATTTACTGATAGTAACGAAATTTAAATTTGAAAGATGGAATATTGGCAAAATTTTGCATGGTTGGGGCCATTTAACGCTTATGAAATTTTGCCATAGTTGTCCTCATGATTTCGTTGCGCAGTAGCTTTACTTATCACTAAACTAGGTTTATTTTAAATTGACATGTTTGAAGTGACTCTTATTGTATGAAATGTTCAATCAATCCGAAGTTACAAAAGGCAAATTTAAATTAAGATTAAAGTAATGAACGAATATTGGAAAGTAGATTATAAAGGGATCATTTGCATTTCAATTAATTTTCCTTCATTTTTTCATTTCCCAGTATTGTATTTGCAGTTATCAAGAGGCATCGCAGTAACAGTAAAATTCGGAATATCACAGGGAATTTACCACTTTTCAACTAACTTCCGCTTTTTTCGAATTAGCACATTTCATTGCAAGCTATTGATGAGTATTTTCTGCCATAACAGATTGCTCTCTCCAACAACTTTCTTGGTGCCTTGAAATAATAGTTCACTTCGTGAAATAATGAGAAGATTTTTCATACTACCACCTACCCCATAGTTAAACATCTGATATCACCCATCTATCTTGGCTATGTCACATTTTTCGAAAGGATAATAGAAAGTGGTTTTGATACAATTTCATTCTATTACGTTCTTTTGAATATTGGCACAACTTTACTCCAAAGGTCCCGTCTCCCCGTTGTTTACTCTTCGGCAAATTCCCATCGTTTACCCCATTTAAACATTAAAATTGTTTGTAAACTTTCCCTGACCTCGTAAAGTAAATATCCACCCCCCCCCCCCCCCCCCCCCCCAATTCTGGCAAAGGCCTGTCTATGCTGCATGAACTTGTATTTAGGCTAAAACGATCAGGGGTCGAAGGCAGATAAGAGCGTAGTTCAGCCGATAAAATTTGAACATTTTTGATTGGCTGCTCTGCGAAAATGTTGGCACGTGCACACACCCACATTTTTGTTTGAGATGGATATACTACTGATGTTAACTGCCAGCAAATAAAATTGCCTTTTAATTAAAAAATAACATTTTAAAAAAAATTAGCTAAATACAATTAGCCAAAGAAAGGCATTAAAATACTTATTCGTATAGATCCGAAATATTTAAAAGAAGGTATATGTAATCCTACAAATGACATTAATCAAATGATTTATCAAATTTGTCTAAATTTCACAAAACAAAACCGTCGTTTCATTATATTTGTGTTAATTTCCATCTATTCGAAATTAAGTCACTTGAATATTTGATTCATTTAAATATTTTCCACTTAAATACATTTAATAATTTCTATCCAACCGCACAATCAGTTTCCATTTTTTTAATATGAGGTGCGCGAGAGACTTACCTCCACGTGGTGCACCCTGGGCAACGTATATTTAGACTTACCTCCACGTGGTGCACCCTGGGCACCGTATACTCATACGGCAAAAAAGTCTATTAACCGGCAGTTGTTGCGATAGACTTACCTCCACGCGGTGCACCCTGGGCAACCCACTCATACGGCAAAAAAGTCTATTAACCGGCAGTTGACTTATCACTTCTCATACGGCAAAAAAGTCTATTAATCGGCAGTTGACATCTTGACTTCTGACTTCAAACTACCATGACCCCACTGTATGTTACAAAGTATACTCATACGGCAAAAAGTCTATAAACCGGCAGTGGACTTCTGACTTCAAACTACCCTCACCCCACTATATGTCACAACTTCTCACTTCAAACTACCATCACCCCACTGTATGTCATTGTGTATACTCATACGGCAAAAAAGTCTATTAACTGGCAGTTGACTTCTCACTTCAAACTACCATCACCCCACTGTATGTCATATCCCATCACTTCTACAGTACTCGCCTTACCCTACTCACGACCTTTGTGTCTGCCTCTTTTACAGTTTTGCAGCATCCTTTTGTTCCCTCTCCCCTCTCGACTATTTTCACTTTGATTTTCCTTCCCCTCTGTGAAGCCTGAAGGCAACTAAACGGATAATGATAACCATCAAGACGCCTGCCATTTGTTATAAATAAATTTTTTTAGTATTTACGGTAGAATAGAAATAGAAGTTAAACAGCTCTCTTTAAATGTAACAAAAGAATTCTAGAGTTTTTTGTTCAAAAGGCAAAATACTTATTACCACAATTGAACATATCAGAAACTTATTCTCCAAATTTACATAATTAGTAAAAAAACGAATCCGTATGTTTCTTATAAATAAATGCTCGCCATATTTTAATAATTCTTTTATTGAAAGGAAAGAAATTTTGGATAATGAGGATGAATCGTAAATCAGTTCCTAATATGACATTTTATTTGCATCTTGCCCGTCTACCTTCCAAATCACCTCCTGGGGCTATTTTAAGTTGCAGTTTTTTTCAGGAAGAGGTCAGATTTGATTGCCTTTATTGAGATTCATTCATTTATTAACCCAAAAAACTCGATTAGCGTTTAATTTAAAGGAAGCTGTTTGGACAGTTTGATGTTCCCGATGCAATTCCAAAAGTACTTCAAAGTGCAGATGATTTTCCTCATTTTTAGCAGGAGTGTTTTCAAAGATACCGAGTTTGAAAAATTATTTAAGATGATTTAATTAAATTTGCAGGTACATAACTTCAAAAGGAACTCCCCTTCTGAGCATTATAAGAGAGCTATTTTGTTATCTACTGATGCCTTATTTATTTTCCTAATAATTTCAATTCATGTGATGAACTCTTAAAGTATAATCCCCCCCTCAACCTCCCCATATACAAAATTTGGGCAGTAGGGATAAAATTAACATAGAAACGCCGTATCTATGATTGGACATCAACCACACAGTAGAAATTACCATTATGGCGTTTACTGTGACAGGGTGCATAGCCTACCAAGTTGTATTCCATTTATAGGACACTTGTTAGTTGTCTGGTGTAAATAGGAATGTTCTAGATTTGAAGAGAGGTTCATTTTGTCATGAACTTTAAACTTAAGATGATCAAATAAGACGCCCATATAGCACGTAAGTTTCCTTGGTGTCGCTCGCTTTGGCAACCAGTATATATTAATGGGTTTAAAAAATTATTTTAACAAAAATCTTTCTAAGGATTTAAACAGGCGCAGTATCCTTAAAAATTATGAGCGTTCAAAACTCGAATTTATGTCTGCTTTAAAAATTTTATTTTGACATTATATAATTTACTATAAATGCACGTGATTATTTTGCCTAATTTGGTGGTGTGAAGATCATCAATTTGGCCTTCAAATTAAGACGTATTTGAGGACATAACAAAGAATCGGGGAAATTGACATTCCGTAATTCATTTTTGATTGAAACAAATCCCTGGGCATAGGCTTCAATACTTGCCTCCTCTACCACATTTGCATATTTTGTATTAATGCTGATAAATACAGAGGCTTCTGCATGGGGAAGAATTTCGATATGCATTGGAGATAACGTAATTCCATGCCTATTTTCAACCTTCTTTTCGATCAGCCTTCCGCATGTGCCAGGCGACCTTGAAATCAAATAACCCTCATGAGGTCGAAGAAGAAGGGAAATTTGTACTTTCGAATCTGCTGTAAATAAAAAACAAACAAGGAATTATAAACAAGTTACAAATTTTCCTTCATTCATCAAATTTATATGATCTTGGGGGGGGGGGGGGGAATTCTTAAAGTGTTGCTAGAAAATTGGATGATATTTTTTTCGGCTGAAGCAATGCGAGGGAAAAAGTGGCAGCTTACTGCAGGCATCTGTTAATGCGAGTTCTTTTATGCTGGCGAAATCGGGTTCATTGATATGGGCACAGAGGTCGAGGAATTTATCACATTTTTCTTCACTGTCTTTTTCATAGAGATGCCAATCAACGTTGACAGCTAAAACGGGAGTAAAAATGTGAGCAATGACACGTAGCACAGTTGTGATGAAATTGTAAAATCAATAGCTGAGGCAAATATCTAAAGTTGTCTGCCTAGCTGAAAGAATGGTCACAAAAATTAATTTAAATTCTAATTTTCTGTTAAAGGTTGCTTACTGCATCCTGAGTTATTTCTCAATTTTACTTCGCGTTTTTTTGCTTCATCAAGTGCTGAAATAGTTCCAAGATTTACCAGAAGCTCTCTTGCAGGAATTGACGAAAGCACAAGATCGTAGAACTCCGAATCATTTTCTGGATCTTTCAAACACTGGTTAAATAGCATCTTGTTAATCGATTTAGTTGCGGCAAGAAATTCAACTGGGCTCCCAAATACCCGAGCGATAACTGATAACTTAGCAACTAGGGATTTGGGTCCCCCGTAGTATTCCTGAAGAGGTTCTGCAATAACTGTGAGCGTATCATGAAATTCTCCAAAAATATCAGCGCAGCAAATCAGTCGAATAATTTTGTGCTCATAAGCAGTGAGAGTGAATTTACTTGATCCTTTTTCGATCAGAATTGCTGCGGTTTTATCATTTTTCAGCAACCGTCGACAGAATTCTAAAAGGGTCAATTGGACATAGTAAGGCGAAATTCTACCATAAGTTTGAATGTTCTGCATTCGCCAATCTTCATCTTGGCATTTCAAAGTATCCCAACTTTCATCACATTTAGCAGGAAAATTTTCAAGTTGGAGATTGAAGACTGTTGGAATTTTTGATGTATTTTCGATGGCAAGGTAAGCCTCCCGTGGCATTCGAAGTCCCATCTTGGGAAATTCGATGGTAAGTCCATCAATTTCAAATATTGATTGACTTAAGGTCACAGAATCGAGCTCCTCTTGATTTTCAACATCTCTGTGAGAAATTAAGTTTGGCTTGATAATTATGCATTCAACTTCACGGACTACCCAGTTAGTATAAATGTCAGGAATTTAGAATTAGTTAATATGAATAAGAAATGTTTCCAAGCTTAAGTAATTATTGTGAAAATATTTTGAGCAGACAAACTTATCAATACTCCCCATTACCTAATTTATTTTCTAAATTTGTTCTACTTAATATATTATGCCGCGTACCTTCTCACAATACCGCCTTTATTGTCGCTCGATAACTCTTAATGGGAACACGAACTCTGGTACTAAAATGTTACAACTTTTTTATTTTAACTTATGACAAACATATTCCCTTTTAACTCATTTGACTCATATTTGTATAAACAGGCAAGTGGTAACAAGAGAACTTAAAATTTGTTAAATCTTAATGCTCATTAAACTTTAAAGAAAGTGCTCCGTGTTTACTCTTTTCTTAAAAGCTCTAGAAATCATTTGATCTGACTTACTCGACAGAGAACGCCTTTAGTAGTTTTGATATTTTGCAAGATATACCTCGCACATTTGCTGAAATATTGAAATCTATCAATTTTGAAATCCCTTCGATTTCACACTGTAATTTACATTCTTTGATATTTTTCTGAAATTTAAAAAAAAACAAATAAATGCAAACCCGGCTGACTATACGGTTAATCATTCCCTCTAAATTCACACATGTTGTCAGCTGGCAGCCTATTTTACTTCCATGTTCTCCTTCTTTGTCTACTAATTTATTTATTTATTCTTTTGATTTAATTTTAATACACTATGTCGTTAGCAATACTCAAGTAGTTATTATGTATATATCAAAAAAACTTATCTAATTGAGATTTGTATAGGTCGCCACGCTGAAATTTAATTTGCTAAATGACTTTAATTAGGTTTTCAATTCAGGCATTTTGCATAATAAGCTCCACGCAAAATTATTTTTTCTAGTTCGTTTAATGCGGTAAAGAGTTTATCTCTACTCTTTTGTCAATTGTACCTCCCGTTCCTGCACTCCCGTTCCTGAACAATTGTATTCTTAAATACTCAAATCCACCTAACAGACTTTATTATATTGTGCGAAAGGGGTGTGCGATAGACTTACCTCCACGTGGTGCACC